CCACCACCCCCCACCCAGGGGATTTTTTTCCCCTCGCTTTGTCTTTCAGGAAGTGTAGAGCCCTGTAGCAAAGAAAACTCAAAAAATACTTGAGTAGTATATGGATAAACATGAGTGAAGGATTTTTAGGTATTTGTGTTAAATAAATGCTCAATCAAGAGTAACCTCAGTAAAAGATTTTTAATATTCGAGTAGATGGGATGACCCCATTCTGTGATACAACTCAGCTTCTGGAAAGCCACTCCTGTTATTGACCAATTGGTTCATGAACAAAGTGGCTGTAGCTGACCCAGTTTTAAGCCACTGGGACAACCAGAGTCCGGCAATGTGACCATTACGGTAACTGGTGGTCCCCAGATTTTTTTAAAGTGTAGTTTGCTAATCTCTAGGAATAATTCTTAAGGTATAGTATTTACAAGAATTTCCCCAATTGTGGAGAATGGTAATTGAGAGAACTAGTAGAAACCACTATCTTGGTTCTACTAGTTTTACTGTCTTGGTTCTACTATGTTTACCTTCTTTTTCTCTCAGATTCCTAACATCCCTATTTTGACTTATTTCAATGGCTCCCTTGATTTCCAGGAATTCATTTAATTGAATGCTAATACCCAGTATTTCTAAGTTTGGGTATTTGCCCTCCAATGTGGGTAAAGCCTATGGGGTCATGAGACCCAGAGCATTCGTTTATATAATCAATTTAGACTTCAGTCTCTAGAGGTTACCAATCACCCAGTCTCTCCAAATTCACCTATGTCCACGCCCTCAGAATATAATCAATTTAGACTTCAGTCTCTAGAGGATACCAATCACCCAGTCTCTCCAATTTCACCTATGTCCATGCCCTCAGGGTTCTGTTGAAACAGTATTCTTGGGGTCGGCAGCTGGCATGGTGCCTAGGTGCTTAGAGCCCTGGACCTACTGGCTTACTTTCTCATTTTCCTTCTTGCTCTGTCCCTCACTGGTCAAAATAAAACAAAAAAGTTAAATAATTCTTTGCTGGTAACTCATAGAAGACCACATCCTCAGTTCTGTTATGATCAGAATGTATGAAACTGTTATACCTTTTACTATTTTTCAACCCATCCTCTTCCCACTGCCAGAGGTGGCATGCTAAAGCAAAATTGCTGGCACTTACAGCAACAAATTCAGCCTAATCCATCTTAAAAACTTATTTTTAAAAATCTGCAAAAACTTGTCCAGTGTAAATAAAAACCTTACTTCTGAATGAAAACTCCTTCCTATTCGAGCAAGTACTTTCCTTCCTTAGGCCCTGAAGAATTGAAATCCTGGTCAATAGGAAAAAAGGTGTGAGAACTGGTTTTAGCTAAGGCATATATTCCCTCAGTAAAACAGTTCAGAGGACTTAAGAGTTTCTCAACATAGCTTTATTTCAGCAGTTGGAGCCAGAGTATGTGTGAACTATTTTAATCTAGCAATCCTAATCAATTTTGCATTTAGTTCTCAGCCCTGTATGCATAGCAATTTTAGTACTGAAATGTAAAAAAAGGTTTTCTTTGATGTAGAAATAGGAAAAAAAAAATCCTCCCATGATTCATGTATTCTTTGTCCATTTAAACTGATCTACTACAGTTGATACTTGGGGCGGTGGGTGGGTGGTGTCTCATCAGATTTCTCTCATGAAACCAAGTGATCATCACAGTAAGTCAACACACTGCTACTTTATCACCCTAAAAGTGTTGTCGCCAGTCTATAGGCTGTCTTGACTTATTAAAATTCCAAATATTCTTCAGAACCTATTGCTTGTTAACACACTTTGATGGAATAATTTCTGCTAGTCAAAATTATTTTAACAAAGGACTTTTGATTGGCAGGAAAAAATGGCCACACAATTGAAGAGCTAAAAACTACATTTTAGAATAGGAACACAAGAATAATTACATCCGGAATTGACAGGAACTAGAACTCAAACAAGGGCTAGCTAATAGCACAGTGGTCACAGTAGCTAATTTCCATATGGCCTGCTTGTTTAAACATAGTATCTTGGAGTTTGAAAACTGCATCACATGTGTGTGCCCTGTGAAAAAAAATAAAACTAAACAGTGGTCACAGTAGCTAATTTCCATATGGCTTGCTTGTTTGAACATAGTATCTTGGAGTTTGAAAACTGCATCACGTGTGTGTCCTGTGAAAAAAACTAAAACTAAAACACATTATCTGGGACAAAGTGGCGTATTTGGGGTTATGTGGTCACTGTGTATGTGAAGGGTGGCTAGGGAGGAAACAGTGGTATTTACTGGCAGATAAGTTCCTTCAAGGAGAGGTGCAGTTTCAGAATTTAAGCTGCTTGGCAGTAAAAACAGTACTCCGCATGCAGCAAGTAAACAAAGCTTTTTTACCCAATGGTATTACTGCAAACCTCTGTCTTCTGGGTGAAAAGTCATTCTTGTATTTCCATGATAAATCTGAGCAATATGAAAATTAATGGAAATCTTCCTTATTATAGGAATCCTAGAAAATCACTCAGTATGCCCAGGTTAAGGATCACTAAGCCCAGGAATATCTAGAACCCAATTTTTTGGCTTTGTACCCCCAATATCCAGAAAATACCTTCATGAAATGCTGAATAAATTTGGGTGGGGTTTCTGCATTGTAGGAGTCATGTCCCATTAGTAATTATGTGCACCTAGGTTCTGCTTATGCCTAGTTAATATACAACTCTAACCATGATTATAAATCCTTACTCAAATCCCAACAGGCTTAAAACACTATCAGATTAAGAAGTAATAAAGGGAACATGATAAAATTGCAAAAGTAAGGTGTGATAATGAAAAAAGCTAAGCATGTTATACTGGTCAAGAGCACTGGTTGTAGGTTAGCATCATGGCCTACTAGTTACTAAAGCAGGATCCCACATGGCTGACAGCTATTCAAATCTTGGCCACACTGGCTTGAAAAACACACTAGCACGTGTGTGCCTGCCCCAAACCTACGCAATGGACAAAGCACTAGTCATCCTTTCTGCCTCTCATCTCCCTGGCAATCAACACGGACCTCTGGCAATTAAAAAAAAAAAAAAAAAAGAAGAGCAGGTATTTAGTGTTTTCCCTAAGCAAAACTATTGATAGTATCAATAGTTTTATCACGCAAACCTTTATGAACCTAGTTTAGATGGGAAAAGATGGCCAATACATCTTAGAGGGGAAATTATTATGAACTAAGATGAAAACTTTTTGATCTTAAATATACCATCAAGAAATAGTACTAAGCTCACATGATAAGACACTGTTAACTGTCATACAGATGGTCAAATTAGTCTTGGTTATTTCAAAAAATGCTCTAGAGTATGCTGTGAAATCCACAGTATTTCTTACCCCACTCTATAACAAAGGACAAGTCTACTAATAGTAGCTTAGCTAGTGAGATCTGCACCCATGTGCCAGCCAATGTCTCAGAACTGACCAAACTATCCTCAAAAGAGAGGGCTTCTGTAGCAAAAACACTGTTCCTCACTTAAACCATTACTACAGAATTAGGCCTCACCTGTGACATTTTATCAAAATCCCTCAATTTTTTTTCCTAAAGATTATTTGCCAAATCATGTGCAAGCTCACCAAAGACAGGCAGTGTGAGGGAAGGCGAGAATACACATCCCATGGCTTCACTGCGAGTCCTTTTCCTGTTGGGATCTTGGGCGCACACACACATGCCCAGTCTGATTTTAAAGCCACTGGTCAGTAACTGTGGCTGGCCATGTGGGAATCCAGCACACCACCCGCTGCCCCTTTTATCTTTCTCCTAAACTCAATCTTTATCTGGATCTGCTGTATGTATGGTTCAACTTATATAAATAGCACCACTTCTTACTCCCACTGGTAAAACACACTCACTGCCTAATAAGTTTTACAAATAAAGAACTATTGGGCTGGCAAGTGGCATGGTGGTTGAAGCAGTAATTCTTGCAGTGTTGGCAGCAGTTCAAGTCCTGGCCCTAGTGGCCAGAAAATCACAATAGATAAGATGAATAAATTATAAAAAAAAAAGGCAAAAAATAAAACAAACTAGATTTCCCCCCCAAACTACAAATACTTTTTCTTGTGGCCAGAAAATCACAATAGATAAGATGAATAAATCATAAAAAAAAGGCAAAAAATAAAACATAAACTAGATTCCCCCCCAAACTACAAATACTTTCCTTTTTCTTTTATTTTTTGAGAGGTTTTTTCGCTATAGGGCGTGTGCGCTCGCCAGACAGACAGAGACAGAAAGCGAGAAATCACCCCCCAGGGGGGATGGTCACACCGCAATCCCTTCTCCTCCATTCTCCTCTCGGGATCTTGGGCACGCACGTACATGTGCCTGGTGTGAGTCTTAAGCGACTGGGTCTGGGACGCGGACCGCGGTCGACTACGTGGGAGTCCAGCGACATAGCTATTACGCTAACTGCTGGTTCCCAATACTTTCCTATGCTCTACTGCCAACATTTTCAATGATTTAGTAACCTAGACTACAGAGGCAGAATGGCATTATTACATGGACTGAGACCACCTTAGTTCAGAGTCTAGTACATCCACTTTAATAGCTGTTCGATTTGTTGCTCTGTACGGAATATAGTTTTGCTAAAGATGAATACACGTGAAGTATTTTCAAAAAGTACTTAGACTATGTTAAATAATGGCTATGTGCCAAAAGCCACTAACAAAATTAAATTGTCCACCTATACAAATACTAAAGTTGATCACAAAAATCCTAAATGCAAAAGGGCTGATACTATGAAACATACATTTCAGTTAAGTTCAGAGTATGTATGTATGAAGTCTATAGTTATTTAATATATAACTCCACCCTTAAATGAAGATGTTCACTCCATTATGTAGATATTTACTCTAAATGTATTCAGAAGATACGTTTCTTTCTCTAAAAACAAAACAGGAAAAAGAATACATCTCATACTGCATTAAAACCTAAAATTATAGGAGGATTAATCACATTAAACAAGGTCAAAAGGAAACATTTTTCTGTACACTAAGTTGCACCAGCAATTTTCTCTCTTTTCATTTGCGTTTATTTAAACACAATTCTCAAAACATTTGAGTGAAATTGGACATCCTTTGGTAAGCAAAGGACCTGAAAATAATATTTAAAAAATGAACAGGCAAAGTCTTCAGTTTATCCATGACACAGGTGTAGTGTTCCCTTCTCTATCTTCAACTCTGAAGCACCCAGTTTTTCCATATTCTAAAAACTAGAAGAACAAGAGTACATCTGTGGTGGAATGTATTGTCACGTGCTGATTACTAGTTGAAATACCATTATCCCCTTGTAACAGCTTAAGAAATAGCCTCTTTAAGGCATACACTGTGTAACTCTTTTCTTATTCCCTGCTATATATAATACAGATTACATAAAAGCTGACAAATCCACATTTTTATAGAGCAGTAAGCATTTGCTGTATTGAAAAATTTTTAGTTCTAATACTAGCAGTACAGAGTTACAGAGCATAATCTTTAACACTCAGTTGCAGGTATATTTAGTATGGCATGTTTCATGGATTGGAGGAAAATGGGCATTTTGTCTTTCAATTTACTACTGACAACTTAATCTGAACAGTTCTGCTAAGCATTGATATGTTAGAAAGGAAAGTAAAAATCAAACTGTTTATTGTTGCTTTTTGCCATTTGGTAGCATTTTACACACAGGCTTCGATCTTCAGAATACCCTGGATTCAGTAGAAAAACCTTTTAAAGGAAGTTTTGTATAATAGAAACTTCTCAGCAGTCAAAATTTAGACTGTAAAAAAATACATGCAAAACATACTTTTCTGAAAACACTTAACTTTGAATAAAGCACCAAACTACACAAATGCAGAATTCAACTCCACCGAAAGTAGTCATCATAAAAGGTGTAAAAGTCACCTAACTTCACTAGGCATTGTTCACTTTTTAAACAGGAGACAATAAAAAATATTGTCCACAAACAATATCCCAGCTCTAGGGCAGGTTTCAGAAAGTCTTCAACTTCATGCTTTAATAGCGACCTGGGAAGAAAATAAAGAATAAACACATTTTAATACTGAGAACTGAATGAGAACATTTGCAGGCTGATGTATTAAAAAGGATAAAATTTAATGTCTCAAGCTCTATATAGTTAACCTCTATATATATAGGGAAGGAGTAGATCCTACGTGGCCAACCATGGCTTGAATCCAGGCAAGGAGTGGGTGCCCATTACAGCAGTGTTTCCCAGCATTTTTGGCAACAGATACTCTTGTGTGTGCTCTTGCCAGAGACAGAGAGAAAAAGTGAGAAATCACCCCCAGGAGGAACGGCCACATTAAAATCCCATCTCCTTCATTTTCCTCTCAGAATTTCTGACACACACACGCAAATTCCCCCAGCATGATTTAAGCCACCAGGAGCTGAATTCTGTGGTCAGTCATGTGGGAGTCCAGAACCTCAACCAACATGACACCTGCTGGCTATATGGTCAAACTCTTCAAAGCTGAGACAGGTGATCACCAGCTTGGGGGAAAAGGTCCTGGCTCAGACTTCCAAAATCTAGGCTAATGTCTGAAACATGTCTAAAATCCCAATGTTCCCTTGTGCCTCATAATTACGGTTTGACTTTCAGCCAAGTCACTTTTATCTGTTGATTTGAAAATAGTCGTAACCCCTTGAAGTGAAAGACTGAACTTGTTGAACAGGTTGAGTATGTCACTAAGTAATCAAGTTTTGCAATCTTTTGAATAACTGTCTCTCTTAAAATTTCCTAAGAAATGTCCTCAACAGCAGGCAGGACCAACTCTTCACCAATAGTAAAGGGCTTCTTAAACTTTAGTAAAGACAGTTAGCCACTTAGAATGCAACTCAGAGCATACACATTTGATAAAGTAACAGCCTTAAATAATTGCTTCTGTTTTTCATGTTCCTGGCTCTTTTTCTTGGGAAAAAAAAAAAAAACAAACTCAAAAGGCTTGTCTTTTATTATAGGGTGGTCTCTATGTAATGAAGCAGTTTCAAGATGTCATGGCTTCTTTGCATAGACCATCACCACATACTATACAAAGTGTGGCTACAAGTAGGCTTGACTATAAACCACCTGTGGAACTGATCCCATAATTTAAGGACTCTTGGAATTTTATTTAAATGTAGCTCTTTGCGGAGTCTTAACATGCTGCCAAGCTGCAGTTGGACTGTCACTTGCTACTTACAGGTTTTGCTATTTAGTCTGCAAGTAGCTGAGTTTTTATAGTCTCTGAGGAGTCAAACCTCTTTGGTAATGTCAATCAGCATTTGCAGATGCTCCCCAGCACCAGCACCTCAATGCAACTGGCATTAGATTCTCATAAAAATGGTGTCCAAGAGATCCTCTGCACTTGTGGCTCACAACAAGGTTTGCACTGCTCTAAGAATATAGTGCTTCAGTGGAAGCCTTGCTTGCTTGCCCACTGTTCACCTCTCCTGCTGTGTGGCCTGGTTCCTAATAGGCCACAGACCAACACTGTGGGTTGTGGCCCTCTCCATTAGAGTATTCCTTCCACCAGCATATTTTAAAAATTCTGTCAGAGGGTAATGTACATTCACTGGAGAGACAGAATGAGTGAGTGAAGGAGCAAGAAAGCACTGTGCTCCCCTGGCACCCAGGGAACAGTTGCGGTATAATCCCTTCATCTGAGCCCTAAGGTTGGCCATGTGGGATCCAGTTACCTTACCCACTATGCCATTAGCTGGCAGCCTCTGGCATTTTTTTTAAAAAAAAAAAAGACAAACAGATATACTAGCCATTAGCTGGCAGCCTCTGGCATTTTTTTTTTTAAAAAAAGGACAAACCGATATACCGTATTTCTTCATGTGAAAATAGAGGAAGTCTTAAATGTTAAATGAATGGTTACTTTGCCGTGATATGGCCAGAGCAGTCCTGATTTACACGCAAACAAAATCTTATTAAGATTCAAACTTACGAGGAGAGTAAGATCTTGATCTGGAACGAGATCTGTATCCTCCACGACTGTAGTAAGGAGAAGGTGACCGCCTTCTGTAAACAAATGTTAAGACTGTCTAAATCTCTAGTCACGATAAGAAATAACAGAAAATTTAAGAGGATAAGAACATAGCAACCAGGAATAAATAATGATTGAAATCATAAGCTCTTACCAATGATTTCAATTTTTACCTCACCTGATCTCATTAAGGTATAAAATAGTTCCACTGAGTATTAAACTTATTCATAAGCCCAGTTAATTTTCTAAGCACATGAAGCCTATTGTATTTTCTTCAGTAAGAACATTTTTGTGAACTCCACATAACCCAAATCTTTTTTTAAATTTTAATTTGATGTCGATATTAAATCATGCCCTGACATACCTATAAATCTGATCCCTGTCTTGAGCAGCTCTCCATCCTCCTCCTCCTCCACCACCTCCTCTGTAAATAAAACAAAATGAAACAATATATTAGGTTTTGGAAGTTTTTAAAAGAACGGTAAAATTAAATCACTCAAGATGTAAAGAAAATCTAGTGAAAGGTAAAGTGATGAACAGTTGCTTTTGGCAATTTAAAAAAAACTGGTATAGAGCTCTCTCTGGTGGCTGAAATGAATATGTTAACAGTACCCTTCTAAATAAAATAATTTCAAAACCAGGAAGACCTTAACCATTCCAGCCTTCGTAAATTGATCTTGTAAGTTCTACTTGATAAATGTTTATAAAAACAAGGGTTGTTTGTGGGTGCTACAATGCTGGATGACATCAAGGCATACTTAAGGAATCATTTCCATAGTGGTGATACTTTGGGAATTGTCAACTTTGCTTAAACATTACCAAATAGTATAACATCGGTTTCACACTATATTTTATCAAAAACTATTGTCCTCAACAGGTAATAATCATATAAATGTGTATTTTCACAAACAAGGTAGGGTCTAAATTACCCATGGCTGTTAAAATACAGAAAGTGAGAAATCACCCCTCCCCCCTAGAGGATGGCTACGAAGCAATACTTTCTCCTCTCAGGATTTTGGATGTGTACATGCGCCTGGTGAAGAGTACTCCGTCACCTCCCTAGCCTTAATTTTCAAGATACTGGGACCAGGACTTGAACTGTGGTCAACTACATGGGAGTCAGGAGTCCAGTGACATAACCATTACGCCACATGCTGGTCTCTATAGCCCTACACTTCAAATGTACAAATACACTCACCAAATTAACATTTAAAGAGACATATAAACTTAACATCTAATTTAAACTCCAGCATAATAAGTTGTTTTAGCCTGTTACAATGGAATATTTAAAAGATCCCACTGCTTTTATATACTTTGTAATTCAGATTCACTACAACGGATCTTTCTACATAATAATTTACCTGTATGATCTGCTATAGTAGTCCCGGTCATCATAGCCTCGATCATATCCTCTGTCATAATAATCCCGACGGCGTGAGCTGCCACTGCAGATAGATTAGAAATCATAACAATCATGGTGCGTGATTATAATTCTCTGCTGCACGCAGAGCATTATGTTTAAATTTAAAAATCAATTCAATTTAGGATTTTTTTTTGGTCAAATATACACATATTGCTAAGAATCACGACAAAGTGGAAAAAAAAAGTCCTTTTATGAGTTTCAAGACAGTGGTCGGTCATGTGGGAGTCCAACACTGTAACCATTATGCAAACCACTGGTCCCACAAGCTTAATTTTAGCAGTCTAATTTCTATTATAGAAAAAAAGCCCAATCAGGAACATTATACAGCAAAGTCAAAATTCATGTCACTTCAATGTGATATACAGGTGTTAATATTTGCTGAATAAAATATACCCAATGCTTATACTTAATAGTTTTAGCCAGCGAAAAAGGCCAGAAAAAACGATCCACAGATTGACAATATGAAGTGAAAAGACTCTGCCTACAAACAAGCGTTTCTTTGAGAAAGTGAACTGTCAATGACATTTTTATGTTCAAGGTACTTACTAGGTAGGTCTCCCCATGTAAATTCCTGGTGTTGGAGTATGTGGTCTTTTTGTTATAGAGAAATCAACTCTGATCCTACGCCCATCAAGCTCCATTCCATTGGCACGCTCTTTAGCCTTCAAAAGACAAAAGAAATTATTCTATACATTCTAGACAGGCCACTAATTTACCATACAGCTATGAATAAGATCTCAATGGACATTTCAGGTAGGTACATTAAATTACTTTACCACTAGGCCAGGGCAAATGCTCTATATATTACACACAGGTTGCTCCCTCCACTAAATAAACAAAAAGTTAGCTCTAAGGGACAGCAGATGGTGTAATGTTATATCATTGGGCTCCCACATAGTAGACTGTGGTTCAAATCCCAGACCTGGGGACCAAAACTTATGCCAGGCACACATGTCCAAAATACTGAGAGGAGAATAGAGAAGCGAAAGTCCTGTGGCTATCCCCCTGTTTTTTTTGGTCAAATATACACATATTGCTAAGAATCACGACAAAGTGGAAAAAAAAAGTCCTTTTATGAGTTTCAAGACAGTGGTCGGTCATGTGGGAGTCCAACACTATAACCATTATGCAAACCACTGGTCCCACAAGCTTAATTTTAGCAGTCTAATTTCTATTATAGAAAAAAAGCCCAATCAGGAACATTATACAGCAAAGTCAAAATTCATGTCACTTCAATGTGATATACAGGTGTTAATATTTGCTGAATAAAATATACCCAATGCTTATACTTAATAGTTTTAGCCAGCGAAAAAGGCCAGAAAAAACGATCCACAGATTGACAATATGAAGTGAAAAGACTCTGCCTACAAACAAGCGTTTCTTTGAGAAAGTGAACTGTCAATGACATTTTTGACATTTTTATGTTCAAGGTACTTACTAGGTAGGTCTCCCCATGTAAATTCCTGGTGTTGGAGTATGTGGTCTTTTTGTTATAGAGAAATCAACTCTGATCCTACGCCCATCAAGCTCCATTCCATTGGCACGCTCTTTAGCCTTCAAAAGACAAAAGAAATTATTCTATACATTCTAGACAGGCCACTAATTTACCATACAGCTATGAATAAGATCTCAATGGACATTTCAGGTAGGTACATTAAATTACTTTACCACTAGGCCAGGGCAAATGCTCTATATATTACACACAGGTTGCTCCCTCCACTAAATAAACAAAAAGTTAGCTCTAAGGGACAGCAGATGGTGTAATGTTATATCATTGGGCTCCCACATAGTAGACTGTGGTTCAAATCCCAGACCTGGGGACCAAAACTTATGACAGGCACACATGTCCAAAATACTGAGAGGAGAATAGAGAAGCGAAAGTCCTGTGGCTATCCCCCTGGATAACGGTTTCTCATGCCTCTCTGGCTAGCACATGTGCCCTACAGCAAAAATCTTTCTAAAAATAAATAAATAAATGACTAACTCTAATAACCTAAAACATGGCCAGCAAGTGATGTGGAGTTAAGGTGCTAAATCTCACAGAGCCAACTGTACAGTTAAGAGTCTCAGAACCGGGAGTTTGGGGGGAGGGGGGCTGGCAATATGTGCAAAGAATCATAATGGGTGCATTTAGAGACTGGAGGAAAAGAGACTGCAGAGTAGTGACCCTGCCAGGGGTGGGATTTTTTAACTCATACTTTCCTCTCTCTAGTCAACTGATCCCACAAACACTGGAAATAATTATCCTATGAACTGGACAAAGCTTCCAGTTCTAAAACAATGCATGGCATACTCTGTATATGCCCCTCAGGATAACAATTTAAATAGCCATAAAACCAAAATAGTATTTCATGGCAGGTAGAAACTACACAAAATTCAGATGTGTATGTCCATAAATGTTTTACTAAAAGCATAGCTCACACATCGAAATTACATATTAACTGTTTCTGTGTCTTAACAGCAGAGTCAGTTAGTTGTGACTGAGGTCCCCTTTCTCAAAAGTAATATACATATTACTTAAGTGTTCTAAGCCCTGCTCTGGAAGCCAAAGGCCTGGGCAAACAAAAAACTAAATTCCTTCATCCAGAATACAGTTATCTGAAACACTATGAGCTTTGTCAAAACAAAAACAAAAATTCAAAAAACAAAACAGAAAAACCCCCAACAATCAAAAAACACAACCCATTCCAAAGAGGTTTGTTCAAACTGAGGAAACACTCTTTAATGGAAACAGAGCTAACTCTGATTCTCTAACAAAAGTAAATTATGGAATCTGGAAGCCTATATTGCCAGTATCCTTGGGCAAACTTTACTTATGATCTCTGGCAACTCATTTTTCCTTAAATGATGCCATGACACTGAAAGCCACCCTCAAATCTCTCAAATTTCCAGTCATCCATTATATTAAGTTGCACTTGGCTTTCAATTCTTCCTTCACTAGATCCTTTTAAAATTAAGCTGCTCCTTTAAAAAATGTTTATGATCTTCAAAAAGTAGTACAATTTTCATGAAGAATTATATAAAATGATTTAACCTAGAGCTCACTCACTTCAACAGTGACCCGTCAAAGGGTTCAACATTAAACATTTCCCCTTGCCTTTCTTTGTATTTGTGTTTGGAAATTATTTCAGCTACCATCCTTACATACAACTAATGCTTTCTGAAGTGGGGTCCAAATTCACAATCTGTATTTTATTTTATGCTATATTGTATCTCAAGACAAAATCCAAATGTAAAATCACTTGCTTGCCATTATTCACTGCTTTTGAGTAAATATCGGAAAATTAGTGATTTTACAATTGCATTTTTCTTCCTTAGCCATTACTTTAATCATTCAGGTTATTTTCCATGCTAGAAAAACATCCCATGACTCCATGTAAACATTAATTACACATTCTAAGCCAGAAAACTAATTGCTTTAGACAATGCATTGAAATAGTATCGTGTATAAATAAAAAACCTTGAGACTTCAAAAAAGTAATCTTAGAGAGGACTGAATAAGTAGTATAGTTGACCTGAGTTACTGAAGCGGAGTGTTAAGACCAACTGCCAAGTCACACATTTGTTATTCTATCTGTATTTAAAATTTCTCCCCAAAAGGTGGTGTCATATTTCAGAGTACTACTGAAATCTTCATTCCTCCAAAATTCATTTTAACCTCAAACCACAACTGCATATTCTACTAACACTTTAAAGCAAAAGTTGTCCTTTGTCAACGAAGTTAAGTAACTTTAAAAGGGTTGGTGTTACACAAAGGCACAGGAAGATTTGTACTTACTTCCTTGGCATCATCTACATTTTCAAAATATACAAAGGCAAATCCTCTCGAACGCCTAGACTGCTGGTCATACACAATAGACACATCAGCAATGGGGCCATATTTAGAGAATACTTCTCTTAGATCTCTTTCGGTGGTGTATAAGCTCAACCCAAATACTCCAAGACAACAGTTGGGATCAGGATTTGCCTAGAAATAGAAAAATAAATGTTAAATTTAAAAAACCACACATTGACTAAAATATCACTAGTAACACTGTTAACCATTACACCAAATACCATATAGAAATGATTCAACATTAAAGCTTCATTTGGATAAGGTTTCTACCATAGGGCATAAGGTATGTGTTCTCCAGAGAGAAAGAGAGAAATCACCCCTATGGGGAATAACCACCATGTAATTACTTCTTTTTCTCAGTATTTCTGACAGAAACCTCTCATTCTCTCACATGTGCCTGGTGTTATTTTTCAAGCTGGCAGATGTGAGACGTTAACTGCAGTTGGCCACAATATAGCACTTTAACCACACCACCTGCTGGTCGAATATAACATCCATTCCCCCCCCCTTCCCCAAGAATGGTCAGAAAAGACCAAAACAAAACATTACAATCTCAAGCACGAATACTTAACTTTGCATGACAAATCTGCCTTAAAAGAATTCTTAAAAACAAACAAAAAAACACACTTCAGCAACAGGCCCACATGATGACAACATGGGCTCTGCAGGCTTAGTTTTGTAGTGCAGCCACGTATTGGCAAGAGGAACCAGGATCCCCAAGGTTAACCAGAGTTTGGGTTCCAGCCCCTTCTGTTAAGAACAAAAAATATACCAGGGGCATGTGTGCACAAAATCCTTCTGGGATAGAGAACTAGGGGAAGAATGATTACAGCCCAAGTGGCCCAGTGGGTGTGTTTTTTCTCTCACATATACCCACATACCTTCTGGCATAATGTACACGCACACACACACACCCCAAACATATAATGCAATGCTCTGTGAACTATCAGAAAGATATAGAAGAGCATGTAGAGTTTGATTTTTTCTTACACAAAATTATGTAAGTGTTTATACAAGCACATGTTTTCACATAAATGAAGCCCAAGAATCTATACAGTATACATCAGTGCATACAGCAGCTTGCATTCATCACAAGCAAACCAAAAAACAAACAAGTTGCCATTACTAGCTATTAGGGAGAAATTCCATTCTACTCTCGAAAACAGTTTCCTGCTGCTCCCGCAACCAGATCATACAATGAAAGCCCAGTATAAACACACTAAATAGCATTTCATTTGAAACCTCTCATGGAATAAAGAAGGCCTTAATACTCAAGAGTTTTACTTAAAAATCTAATGGGCTGAAGTTATACCACTGTGTCAATACAATGCACAAGTGACTGACAATCCAAATATAAATCACACAGATTAACTTTCAAAGAGACCTTCAGAACCAGCAGATGTTAACGTCAATAGACTCCCACATAGTTGATCACAGTTCCGGTCCTAGACCCTGCAGCTTTAACCTCAAGGTGGATGTGTGTCAGCACGTGCCCAAAATCCTAAGAGCAGAAGGGGTTGTGGTATGGCCAACCCCTGAGGGTGATTTCTCACTTTGTCTTGCTGGCAAGTACACACTCCTTACAGCAAAAATCCCTTTCAAAAGAAACTCTAGGGACCAGCAGTTGGCGTAATGGCCATGTGGCTGGACTCTTACGTAGTTGCCCAAGGTTCGCACCCCAGACATGGTGGCTTTAAAACTCATGCCGGGCGCTTGTTTGTGGGTGCCCAGGACCCCGAGAGGAGAATGGAGAAGGGATTGCAGCATGGCCATGCCCCCTTGGGGGTGATTTCTCGCTTTCTGTCTGTCTGGCGAGCACACGAGCCCTATGGCAAAAACCTCTCCCAAAGAAAAAAAAAAATCACCAAAAAGCCCCTGATGTTTTCACTCATTCTTTCACTATTAAAAGTCTATTATCAGACAAAATTGGTTCTAATTGAAAACAAAGGGAGTCTACTGTGTCAAAACAGTATCTTACCCGGTTCCCAACATGGCGCCTGCGAGTAGACATGGGAGAGTGACTGTGACTGTGTCTCCTGCGATAATCTCGACTATAAGATCTGCTACGGGATCGCCTATGGGAGCGAGATCGTGACCGTGACCGAGTATAGTGCCTTCGAGAGCTTCTTCTGGATCTAGACCTGTAAAAAACAAAGGCTTCAAGGTTATGACTAAATAACTGACAATAGATGGCTTACAATTCTTTTACTACCCTATTCTAGAGTTAAATTCCAAAAGGAAATATAATCCAGGTACATGCTAATATAGTTACCAAGTAAATAGAGACTAAGCACCTTTCTTTAGTAATTTCAAAATCAGCTGTTCCAACATTTCTTCAAATTAAGAGAAAGGTGTAGTGTTCTGATCATTTGAAAACCTGAAAGCATGCAGTCTTTTGCATTATTTCACTGTCTTGGTTTGTACTCTTTGATCCCCAAGTTATCACCCTGTATTTGTCTTTCATTATGCCCACCATTCATTTAACACACCAACAAATACCACACCAAATAGTTTTTCCCCAGCAGTTTTATTCCCCCCATCAATGAATAGCTCTTGACTACAGTGACCATATAAAAATTTTCACCAAAACCAGGACATGCCTGACAACAGGCAGAAACTGGGATTATCCTGGGCAAATGAGAACGTACAGCCTATTCTTAACCAACGGGGGGACGGGGGGGACGGGGGGACGGGGACACAATAACACTGTAGTACTATTTGTTTTATGTACATATGTATGCACTTCATTAGACTACACTTGCTTATCAAGAACTGCAGCTACTGAAAGCCAATGTTCTCCAGTATGTTTGTCATACTAAGCAGGTTACATACAGTGAATCCTCACAACTTTGAAGAACTGGTACCATTACTAACTCGCCTTTTATGGACAAGAAAGCTAAAGTTGAAAAAGTTAATCTGCCAAAGCCAGCAAAAATAAAGGTAAGATTTTGAACCCTGACTGCAAAAGGCTAGGCTCTTGAGCACTTAATCATCTATCTTCCAGAATTTATTTGCTTCTAGTACCAGTATTAAACAGGCCATCACATGAGCTAACCCTCTCTAACTTCCTGGTTTACAAGCACACACCAATTTCAGAGCTAAGAGTAACAAGAAAATCTCAAGACAGTCTTTCTTACCTAGATTCAGATCTGGACCTGGACTTTGATCTGGAACGCCTGGAATCTTCCTTGGAGCGAGACCTTGCAGGGGTATGCCTTGCAGATTTCCCCGATCCGTGAGCACTTCCACTTCTGGAAGCAGAACGGGATTCCTACACGTAGATGTCAAAAGTTTAATTTGTATACTTTTTGGGCAACTTTAAAAACAAATTAAGCTGCTGTGAGATAAATAGCGAGGGAGAGCAATCCCCTTCCAAGATAAGAAAACATAGGTAAGGGCAGAAACTGAATATACCTGGTATAATAGTTTCAATGCTCCAATTGACATTAATCAATTAATCTGTCCTTTCTTCCACCTTTGAGAGCAGGATTAAGTTATATGACCCCACTCACTTTGGAAAGGAGCGCCAGAGCCAAGCAGTAAAGGGAACTGTCCAAGGATTATATTTTGGGAATGTTACTCCATAAAGACTAGAGGGAGAAAGAATCTTAGCAACTATGGCATCTATATACCTACTTCAAATTAAGTTGTAACTAATAAAACAAACCCTACCAAATTTATAATATTTACTTTAAAATACTTATTTAAGACCTCAAGCTGTATTTACTAATGAGTAAGACAAGTGATCTCTGCTTCAACTCCTAGAGAAAGACAGAATAGAATCCCAGTGGAAAACAAGAACTAGTTCAAAGAACACTAAACCCTTTAAGACCCTTTTCTGCCGGACTACAATGGGAAGTCCCTTAGAAACTCAAAAACAACCAGATGGCACTAGGGCGGCAAGGAAATAAATTCTGCAGCTTAGCAGAGAGGGTGCCAGAGATCCACACCTTTCCTCAGTTAAATGGAGATACCCCAGGGCAAATTTACATGGACAGATTAAGCCAGGGGCTCCTAATCTAGGACCCATGATGGGAAGTTCAGGAACTGTATGTGAAAACCAAAGTCTAGGTAAAACTGTAACCAAAAGATGTACTCAGAACTGGAAAAAAAACGGGCAGGTTGGGAGGTATAAAAAAGATCTCTAAAGAAAACAGCTAAGGAATGTCTTAAGTAATTGCTCACCAAGGAAAAGGACATATGGTCAACTAGTCAACAGAAAAAGCACATATATAGTAAAGTGATGAAACCAAGGGAAAGTTCTGCCAAGCAACAAAATTGTGGATGAAGAGAGGAAAGAATCCACTGGCTCTGACAACTAAATTACCAAGTCAGATACTGATTTTTCAGTTACCCAACTTAGCCAGAAACAAACCAGAGTCTACTCACACACACAAAAAATAAACTCAAAAGAAAGCAGTATTACAACAAATAACTGTAAGGTATGAATCAAAGTTTTCATCTAAAAGTTATCACAAGAGATCACTGTGTGATGGCTCTTCTGGCTATCACTGAAAGGACAGAAACAAGACCAGTTTGAACGGTAGCCCCACAATTTTAGAATATAGTTTTGTGCTTTATGGTATAATGTATAATGGAGATGATCTGAAAGATCCTTTCTAGGACGCTCCAGGGATAATTTTTGAAACACAGCAGAGACGGAAGCTTAAAACAGGGATCTATAAATTCCCTGACCGAAGGTCCAAACAGCCCAAAACTTTCAGCTAATACCTCAAAAGTCATTATAAAAACAGAATGAAAACCAAAATATGACAGCCTTTCCTCCCTACCCAACTTCCCACCCCATGTATGATAACTGCGAAGACATTAAAAAAACAAAAACAAAACAAAACTTTGTGAGAACAGCTTTCCTTAACCAAGAAAGATGTACTGCTTCCCTGTAGGCCCCAATTCCTGATACTTAAGATTTCTTTATCAAAAGATCCAAACACTAATATCTACAACATAACTTACCCCCCCCTTCTCTTAGGACAAAGATCTCAAGACAAGGACTTGTCTGCCATCTTTTATCAGAGGCAAAAGCGAATCCACAAGAGAAGCTAAAAATGGGTTACATAAAAGCTACTAGATGCATTTACTTTAATGCTAGGAATATTATAACCTTTAATGAAAAAAAATTAAGCAATCTGCTCATGAAGGGAGAGCAAAGTACATGAATGCCTCACATTAAGATTATCAATTGCTATAGCTAACAGAAATAAGCACAGGAATCTAAACAAAGAATGTGGAAGTTAAGATTCCCTTTAAATCCCTTGCTTTATTGAAAAGAAGCTTTATTTGAAGCTGAGATGTCTCACCAGTCTGTTCACTTTAGGAGGGTTTTCCTAGCCTAGGAAACAAGCCTTAATAAAATCTCACAAAATTCCAAACAGATCAAGGCTCAAAGGCAATTTAGTATAACTTAGTTTTTCCTCAGCATCCATAACAGGATCTATAGATAAATGCCCACACCTTTTTTTCCCTAGGGATACTTGTTTAAAAAGTCAAGGACCTCTACAATTATGTTGACCACTTAACTGGTCCGGAAAATTTCCCTTTTCGGGGTATGCCTTGCAGATTTCCCCATATCCATGAGCACTTCCACTTCTGGAAGCAGAATGGGATTCCTACATGTAGATGTCGAAAGTTTAATTTGCACTTTCTGGGAAACTCAAGTTAATTTAACTTGTCTCTAATAAACAAGACCTAAAATTATTGAAATTCAAAGTATAACACTAACTTTAAACCTTAATACACAAGATAAATCTTTAAGAGCAGTTGGGAAAGCCCCTAATACACAATATTTCAATTTCTATTCTAAAAGCTGACAAAGTTAGAGGCATCACCACATTAAGCCCTACTCAAAGAAATATTCTGCAATGCCTCAAGTAAAGAAATAGTGAAAACTCAAATACCAGCATAAACAAAAATGAAGCCAAAATTCACTGTAAGGCTCAAGGTCTTACTGACTTTTACCATATGAGGGAATTTAAAAAAACTTACAGGAAAATAGAATTGTAAGATTATTTTGATGAAGTGTTTTACAATCCACAGTTCTTTGCAATGTTCATTTTTCACGAACTTTGATACTCTTTGTACTTGCATACAACCTTCAGGAACTGCATCATGTATTCCCCCCCCTAAAAAAATGGTATTTGAGAAGATGAAGTAGAAATAACCACCCAATATCTATAGTACTTTAAAACTAGATATGTTACATTTAGAACTGCTCAAAAAGATCAGGGCCCTAAATTCAAGTTCACTTTAGTAGGTGTGAAACTAAGCAGCACCACGGGTTTTCATTATACTAGTTAAGCCTCACTAACGATTCCAGAAATTTTATGTTCCTACATTTTTCTCCATCAGCAGTATCTTTCTGGAACGTTGTCATCTTTCCTGCTCTGTTTGCCCCTAGCATTTAATCAGATCCCTATATTAAGTCTTTCCTGTACTGCCTTTCCCACATCAGAGAGCTGTCTTCCCTTTATTTCTCCAATGACCTGGGGAGGAGACATTTGAAGACCCAAAAATATTGTGGCCAAGAGGGAACACAAAAATGATAGTTCATTGGCATTAAGGGTATTATCACCTTAAATTTATTTAACTAGGGCCATATAATCAAATTCCAAACTATTTTCATTACCTTACAGGGCTAACAGTTCTTTTTCTCTTTTGGATCCTAAAGATCTTTCAGGTCTCTTGATTTCCATAACTTTGAACAGAAATGTATTTACCCTAAGCTATCAAACTGTTCACCTGAGCAATTTAGAACACATTAATGTTATTAGTTTATCTGTGTCAAGAAATTTTACAAAGCAGTAACTGGGGCAAAGCAAACACAGAAACAGCCTGTTAACAGGGATAATTTCTTTCGTTTTAAGAGACACAGAAATAGCTAAAACAAATTTCATACCTTGACAGTTTAAGTCCTAAAGCATTAGAAAGTTACACCTTTAAGAAATGTCACTAAACCACTTTCTTCAGGAGCTTTAAGAGTCAGTAACACTGAGCAAACATTTTAAAAGCTGGCTCATTTTCAGGGAAAAAAACCTTACAAGACAGATACTCTTAGTACTATTCAAATGGGTTAAAAAAACAAAAACAAACCCATTACTAGTTGGCTACTACAGAGCATGCAACTGAGAGCAACAGTATTAAACCTATTATTTAACTGCCCAACTAAAACAAAAGAAACACACAGAAAGACAACTTTGGGGCTAGACTTCTCAGTAAGTGATAGAAACCAGAACAGAAGTACTCTATGATCCATCCATCCCTAAGCACTGTAACAGCCAAATGTTTACAGCAGAAAAAGGGAGAGAGATTAAAGCACCTGTATTAAACTTTGACATAGGCATCCTGTTCACTTGTTACCCACCTTTTCTAAAGGCATTTCTAAAGGCATTTTAAGAGAAATCCTAGTCATCCAGCTGAAAACAGGCATTAAACAGAAAAAGAACTTGAATCACTTGTTTTTAATACATACACACCTAAGTCTGGGCCTGACTAGTCAAAGCTTCCCCCTAATGCAATTTGGAACAACAAAAAAGAAACAAACAAAAAAACCCTGATGCTTTTATGCTCAAAAGAACTACTCTGGTTCAATGCTTTGCTTGGATTTTGGGGGTTTGGCTCTATAACCATCCTGGTGATAATTCTTCTGAAAAATTCTGAACAAAATGTTCTAGTGTACATTATTCAGTACTGAAGAAAAGGGATCAGTGCTTCGTGAGAGTTCAGGTGGGTGGCACAGACCACATGTTCAAATTACAGAGGCACTACTAGTGCCCCAGGACTAGCAGAGTCAGATAAAAGCAAACAAACAAACAAAAGCAAACAAAAACCAAATGCTCTAAAGGGGACAACATGAAGTCAACTGTTACCCATGCTAGAGAGCTTGTTGCTGCCTGGTGTTTGACTACAAATGATTATTTTTTTAAAAATTGCATTTCAATCATTTGACTAAGCAGTTAAAATTAGAATTACCTAATTTAAACGTTTCCCCTGGAAGGCACTTCTTTACCCTGTATATATTTTCTTCTATTAAACAAATAATGCATGCATGTTTAGCAAAATATACAGGGACACATAAACAGACTAGTAATTACTTAGCGTAGTGCTTTCTGATTCCAGATTACTTCTTATCTTAACTTCATTTTTATTTCTTTTCTTCATTCTTCCGTTTCAAATTCTGACTTCTTTCATCTTCCCCACTTCACACAAATTGCTCAATATTCTACAAGTGGGACTTCTGGTCTGATAATTAGCATGCATTCTTTCTTTTATTTTTTCAAATTTCAGCTTCACTTATTCCTGAGCTTCAAATACTCATTTATAAAACTTGTCAAATGACGACTTCCGCATTTTCCTTCTTCAACATTAACCTTAATAGAAAAAGAACAGGATGAAGAATATTTTAAAACTCCAGGATAAAATCCAGTGCCAAAACTGAAACTAGAAAAAAAATCCCTTCTGTTTTGGATTTTTTAAAAAATAAAAAAACTAGAATATGCAGCTCAAAAAACTGAAACTACATAGTTCTGTTGGTTTCTAGAATAGATATGGTAATCTCATTTGTCTACTCCAAATAGATTTATCATGCTTAAGTTAAAAGTGAAGTGCGCCACTGAACATTTACTGTTCATTTCACATTTTAAGGACTACAATTACATCTCACACTTCTTAATTATATTCATCAATAGAAAGTATTTTAAGTGTCAAAAGCACATCTCTAGTCAAAAAGTGACATACAAAAGTGCAAGAAAGGAAAGCACGGACAATTCATTTGTACAATGACAATGTCTCTGGGTTGAAGAGGCTGACAATATTCTGACTTGTCTAACTAGAAAAAGAAACATACTTAATGTCACACATTCTTGCACTGCCTATTTAAAAGAGCTTTGTAGAAAGATGTCAGGGAACCTGACAATTTGGAACTGCAGTGTTTGACCCACCCTTAGGGAAAGCTGTTTTACTTAAGACTTTGTAGAGTCGTCCAATTACAAAATTTAGAACTAAAAATCCTAAGAAAAGAAGCTCAAGTCAACCAACTACTCAACTATATATCTATATATATAAAAAACAGAATAAACTTGAATCCAACAGTGGTATTTTCAAAGAATTTTGCTGTAAACTTTCCCCCTCAAATAAGCAAAATATTAATGTCTTCTGGATGTCCAAAGGAAAAAATCCTACTTTGAAGGTGGCAATGCCAGAAAACTACAGCTCACCTCAAAAAATCATGACTCAAAATTCAGCAGATCAGTAAAGTATAACAGTATCTGTGGAACACACTAACCTTCATGTATCATTCTATTAATTATCATTCTTGTAATCCTGCATTTCACTTTACGATCTGTAATTTACTGTCAATAATTTCCTCTCCTAGTTTTTTATTTTCTGAAAGCGAGTTTATATTCTTTAAAAAGAAAAAAAGAAAAAAGAAAAAAAAGCCTTTATACCCCAGGCATAAAGACAACCAAGGCTATCCTGGGAAGTGTTGTGATCTTTTCTAACAAGGTAAAACCGTAATTTTAGTCCAGTTTTATTATTAATATATCTAAAGGAAAGAAATAATAGCTTTCTACTTAAGGGAGTACATTTTCTTTAAATGTCCATCACTAAAATGTAATGGGAAATGTTTGCTGGCAGCACAAACGTAATCGTGGAATCAGAATGCCCAAGCAGATTTTCTTTAGGGCTTCCTAATGGTTATGTACAGAAACAGGACTTAAATGCAGAAGGTACTGAAATAGAGATCAAAGCTCTAGATAATCGCCTACTTTTAAACATGGACGCCTTCTCATTTTTATTTCATTACCCTACACCAACCTTGTTCATATGTTCTAAGAAAACTAGTACTACAGAATATATAAATGTTTATTTAAACTCTGCTGCTACGTTCAAGTGGCCACTTTATAAAACCAAAAGACCAACTACTGGGCTAATGTTATTATGCACACTTGATTAAGAGACCTATTCAGAAATAAACATGTCCCATTATCAAATACAAATTTTGTTAAAATAGCTGCAGGGGCTACAACTAGAATCCATTTAACATTAAACATGCACAAATCCATTAAGTTGATCGACAAGGCAGTACTTTAAAGAGAGGGAGGGCAAACAAAAGCTTAGGTCAATTCTCTTATCAATAAAACCTTATTTAACAGCAAAACTGTCTACCAGAAGGGTGGATGAATAGAAAAAGCCCCAGACTGAGAACAGTCTCTAAAAACCACTGATTTATCTATTTTTATTGTTGTTGTAAGTCTGTGCTTTGAAGAAATCTCTTCCAAAAATAGCACAACCGCTTACACATTTATATTTATAAAATATCCAGCACTTTCCAGCAAAGCGTCCGAAGACTTTCAGAAGACTTGCTAATCTAATATTAAGCACAGAAATGCAAAAAAGGGTCTCAAATCTGTCATGTGACTGTCGGTTGAACTAACAATCTGAAAACAACCTCCAAAACCCAATTCAAAGCAAAGATTTTTTTTTGAAAATTAAACACTATTATTTTCAAGAATGAACAACCTTTTTTGGGGGGCCCATAGCTTAAGTACCAAGTGATAAGAATACCTATGTGACCCACACTCTAACATACCTCGGTTAAAACACCTTAAATTCCTAACATCAACCAGTCTCTTGTCAAAAAATAAAATTACATATACACACTATTCAACATAGCACTAAAGGATCAAGATACACACACAATTGTAGCTGTCTTTGTCTTATGCAAAACAAACTATGCAAGTATTAATATTTCTCACTTAGGTTTCATTTTATTGGAAAGGGGGCCAAGAAAGGAAGCTGAGCAAGACGAATCCCAGTAACACTCCCCTCCCTCTGGTGTCCTCTTCATTGGACAAAGCCAGTACTTACCTTTTAACTTCAATTTGAAAATGCCACTTTTTAATCCCAGACAATATCCACAATATGAAAGCTGCCTTATTCAAAAGGTAAGAAAAAAATTTTCCCGACTTGCTATCAAGAAATTCATAACTAACCAGACTCATCACAATGAGTGATGCACAATAATCCAAACTATAATATATCCTCCCGCTTGATAGTAATTTCTTTGCTAAAGAAATTTGGTTTGATGGCTACAATCCTTTAGAAAGAAATGGGTTCAGAGATA